GAGAAGTAGAGGACAGCTCTTTTGTTGGTATAGGGATATGGGGCTCCTGTAGAATTCAGGATAAGAACAGCTAAAGTCATCATATGTGTGCCTATAAAATGGAATCATAATGAACCACCTCATGTAGTGCCCTTCAGGGAGGGAGGGACTAAGGATATAGAAGGCCTTTAACTGTTCACCTGAAACAATATTCCAGAAAAATACCTTTCTGGTGACTATTTTGTTCATGCACTAGCATATAAAGGCATGCTGAATTTAATGTGCTTGTGTCCCCAGGCTGAGTATCAAAAGGAACAAGACTATTTATTATTAATCATGGGATGTTCTACTTAGTGAAGCAGAGGCTCTAGCTCCTTTAAGCCAGATATAGAGATATTTTAAATTCTCTATTGGCTGTGTCTGAAATATCCATCCCACTGAGGTGAAATGAGACATAAAGCCCTGAAAAAAATCAAACAGAAAAGAATCATGAATCTGTCCAATGTTGAGATATAAAGGTTTCTAAAAAGAGAACACATGGAGGGCTGGGGATTGCTTTGAAGCCTGTGGGTAGGACCTCTGATGAGATGAGGATGGTCTGTACATCTACCAGGGAGATGTCTAAGCGAGGAGAAGCAATGGTGGGTAGACCAAGACTTAGGCTTCCTGTCAACATCATTGTAAGTCAGGATGAAGCTTCAGAAGATACAGGGAATAGGAGAGAAGAGACAATAATGCCCAGGGACTATTAGCTATATGAGTAAGGTTTTAAGGTTTTCCTATGTAGGACTAAAAATGCCAAAGTACAGACACTGCACTCGGTACCCAAAAGTCTGAGTGAACTTGAATTTGGAAGCTCATCATTGGCAAACTACCCGAAGTTCAGAATATGGAGAGGAATACTACATTATGCTCTAGAGCAGTGGTTCTAACCTTCCTAATGCTGCGACGCTTTAATGCAGTTTCTCATGTTGTGGCTATAAAATTATTTTCCTTACTAGTTAATAACTGTGATTTTGTTACTGTTGTGAACTGTAATGCAAATAATTTTAGAGACTGAGGGGCCACAACCCACAGGTGGAGAGCATTGCTCTAATAGTTCTGATAATGGCCCTTTAAGGCTTCTCTTTGGGATGTTCTATAATGTGTTCTAACTTTGGGAAACTGGTTTTTAAAAGTAGATGACTACTTTGTAAACAAATGCAAACATGGGAAAATAAAACTTTTTACTTATTTTTATTTTTTTACATTTTCAGCCCAAGCACATACACTCCATAGTCCTGTTTACACACAAGAAAAATAAGGTTTGGAGACATTAATTTCCAATTGTTTTTCATTTAGCAGAATCAATTCACCTCTTTGGTGAATTGTGATTATTTGAACTCTCATGCTAGAAGGTCACCATTTTCTACCAGTGCCCAGTGGCTGAAGAGATTTCACAGTAAAACTTGTACAGATCAATGACTATGCAAGATGTTGAAGAGATTTTTCCTGGCATGTATAGCCTGTGGAACATTTAACAAAAGGCACAGAACAGCAGATGTTGACATTAGATACTTAACAGAGAAGATCCAGGCTGTCTGGCCTGGTCCTTGAGAGCCTAACAATAGGAAAGCCTAAAAAAATGCTAAACAAGAAACCTTTGTCTGTTGACATTTTATGACTGCAAAATTTGAAAAAAATATATAAAGGGGCAAAAGCTATTCTCAGTGTTACATACCATAGATAATGACTATTTTAAAGTATATTTTCCTCATTCGACACCCCCTCACTGCATTGTAAACATATGTACATTTATATGCTACTCTCCTGAGCACATTGCTTCTCTTCCATTCTCCCTCTCTCTCATCCAGGAGCACCAGTTTACATACATATTTGTCCATTTTTCTATATGTATTTATCTTATACATTTTCACCTTTGGTCATTTAGGCTTAGTTATGATTCTTTTCTTGTAAGTGTTCTTTCAGCTAATTCATGCTCTTCAGCCTCGTTAGATTTCCTATTAAATTATCCACTGAATTTTTTATTTTATGGTCGTACTTTTCCATTTTAGATTTTTCCTATGGTTATATTTCAAGGCTTACAGTTTCCTGCTAAAGTTATCAATCTTGTCTTTGGTTTCTTGAGTATATTCAGCATAGCTACTTTTTATAGTGGTATCACAAAACTACAGTAATATCGTTCATGAGGGCTCTATCTTCATGATTTAATTATTTCACAAATATTCTACCTTTGAATGCCACACTATTGGAAGTAGCTAGGATTTCAACACAGGGCATGTGAGGGAGACACAGTAACACTCCACTGAATATTCCATTGGATCCTTTCTTGGAAGTATGCTTGTACCTATCCTGATGACATTATATATGCAATAAATTAAAACTACTAAGTGTTCTCAGAACTCTCTGTCCCGAGTTCTCACCAAGTTTCAGCTGCTCTGTTGATTTAACTGACTTTTCATAGCTCAGAAGTAAAATGTGTTATTATGAAAAGTTTACATATGACCTGATTTGACAAACGTCATGTTGTAAAATGTACACATTGAAGAATCATGAAAATTGAATCATATCCTTACAGCTTGGGTAGAGATGTTGATATATTCCAAATTAGCTTCTCTTTCCTTCTTATTTTAAAGCCTTCCCAGCGAAAGAAATGAATGGCTTGAAGGGTCAAGAGCTCAGTGTTCAAACCCACAGTATATGTAGTAGATGTATGATCCCTGAAGGTCTAGCTAAGTCTTAGTGTGGGAGTCTATCATACTATGAGAGTGCCTCCTTCTAAGGAAAGAAAACCCAGCTCTCAGGTTCACCTGTCCAAACCCGTGGGAGAAAGGATTTCTTTCCCTTCTGCTGAAGCGGATGTGGCCGCAGCTTAGCTCTTTAGTTCTCCCTGTTTCAGATTGGCCTTCCATACCACCCAGTCTCTCACAGCCATGAGCAAAGCGCAACATGGCTGAAGAACAACACTTGTATTATACAAACTTCAGCTCTCAGATTGACTAATTGGCCACAGAGTTAAGTAAAAGCCAGAGCTAGGTAGTCAAGTTGGGGGTCATGGCCAAGTGAATAACTCTGCCCCATGTAGGTAAAGTGCTATGGCCAAGTGAATAACTCTGCCCAATGTAGGTAAAGTGCTACTTATCTAACCTCAAATTCCAGTTGATTGTTACTATATGGGAGCATAGACCCAGGTATTTCAGTCCTGAATCTCATGAAAGGCTGATAACTTGACTTAAAATCTCCCAATTACTGTATCGTGACTAATTCCACAGTTTTAAACATGCAGGTGGGATACATTGCTTGTTATTATAGTCTCCGGCTTCCAGCAGTGGCCTTTTGACTGTGTGTTCAGAATTGAATGTGTCTGTACTAGATAAAGGCGATAGCCCTGGCTGTTTCCTCTGCCTGTTTCTCCCACACCAGAGTCATTCCTGAAAGCAGCACTGAGGTTTTCTGAGTCCATTTGAGGTGGAGTGCCTTGTTATGCCATCTGAGTATTTTTGAACAGCTTGCTCAGTGAGGTCTCTTTTCTTACAGTTAAAATCGGAGCTTAGGATTCACTCACAAGAGGAGCTGTTTATATTACATAACCCCAAGGCACACAGATTATGATTGATCTATTGCCATATGGCCTGGACAGTCGCCACGTAGAAGCAAACCACTCATTTGGCTGGTTCTAGCAATCTTCCCAAGTGGCACATTAAAAACAATGTTCATTTATTTTTAATTTTTGAGTATTTTAGAGATATTATCTGAATGGAAATTCTCTTCTTGCCTGGAGGCAAGTAAATAAATTGCTGAGAAAGTAATTGGACCATTTATAGGAAGAAAGGCCTGTAGAATGTACAATTGTGTAACTTGGGCACTGTTCCAGAGGAACGAGTGTATGCTTTGGAAGAAATGACTGAAAAGAAATCAGGGATAGGCACTGGAGAGATGGCTCACTTGCTGCTCTTATGGAGACCCCAGGTTCCATTCCCAGCACCCACATGGTGGTCCCAACAATCCAGTTCAAGGAATCTTATCCTCCTCCCCTTCTTCTGATCTCTGTAGGCATCAGGCACACACATAGTACACACACACACACACACACACACACACAAATGCATGCAAACACATATACATATAAAATAAAATAATTATTAAAAAAAGAACCAAGAGAAGCCATTGGTCCCATATTCAATTATTAAAGGTGGAACTCTTCAGGAGACTCACTGTCTTTCTCTAGTTTCAGACAATAATGCTATGTACCCGATAGAGTATTTCCAGGCCATGACTGAAATGCCCAGAGTAGCTGTTGATGCCATTTTGACTTTAAGTCTGTGTCCTACAGAAATGAAAGAATAGACTTTTTTGTAATGAATGTTAACTGTGCAGATGGAAAGTTCTATTTGGAGATCAGGGAAGTCTGCTAGATCTACAATTATAGTATATAGTTCTATTTTTGTTTTATTGTGTGTATGGGTGTCTTGCCTACATATGTGAATCACTTACACTGATGCCTGAGGCCCAGAAGAGGGAGTTAGACCCTCCTGGAAATGGGGTTATAGATAGTTGTGAGCTACTATGTGGATGCTGGGAATTGAACCCCAGTCTTCTGGAAGAACAGTTGGTGCTCCCAGTTGCTCCCCTAACACCACTTTATTTTTTTTAACTAAAAGTTTCAGCATACTGTTTTCTTCCTGGGGATGAAAACTGAAGTCTAAGTCCATTTTAGAAATGCACTCTTGTTTGAACTCAATTCTACTTTCTGAGTTCACAACATAAGTAGGAAATCAGTAGCATTTGGTTTAATTGCCTGGTAGAAAATGAAACAAACAATGTCACAAAAAATAAAACTGCGATGTATTAGTTGAAAATTTTAAGTGAATTATTTCCATTGTTCAGGCTTTCCCAGTTTCTGTAGTTTGAGAAAGAAATGAACAGTATCATTAAGGCTCAGATTTAGTGTCCAACTGATATATGTTTAGAATGGATGATTTCTCGATTTAAGTCATAAAGCAAGGTGAAGACACACTTACCACATGCTCCTATATGATGAAGTTCCTCTCAGGCTTTCTTCTAAGCACTGCTGTTAGCCTTCTGTCGCTGTATTTTTAATTCAATGAAATGTGAGAAGAGGCTATTCTGAAATTGGATGACTCAGACTTTTAACAGTTCTTTCTTCTTCTTCCACTTCTAGTACTTGAAGAAAGAAACTGCTCAGGCCTTGGTAACCCAGTCAATGGGTACAAGAAAATCACAGGAGGTCCAGGGCTTCTCAATGATCACCATGTAAAACTTGGCACAGTTGTGTCATTCTTTTGTAATGGCTCATACGTTCTCAGTGGCAATGAGAAGAGAACTTGCCAGCAGGATGGCGAGTGGTCAGGGAAGCAGCCCATCTGTGTAAAAGGTAACCCAGGGATGTTACTAGAGTCCGTAGATGTGCATAGAGTTGTCGTAATTCTTTGACTGCTCCCATGCCTGCTTTTAAGTCCCTGGAATAATGTTTTCTTGTAGGCTCACCCTTAAACCATTTGTGACTCTTGTCTTGGAGGGTATCTTTTAAAACTTTCGCTTCTTTTTTTCTGGACCCCAAGAAGATCCCACTCTCATCTTCTCTCAGGTGATGGAGAACAGTTTGGGTTTTAGATAAGTAAATCCAAAGATAGAGTTTGCAGGCCCTTGCCTCGCTGCTTTTGTCAAGCCTCTAATAAAAGAGTCAATAAGCACATGTTCCCGGCCACCTCTAAGGAGAGGCAGCAGATGTAGAGGGTTGAAAAAAGCATCTAATGGGTGAGACAGACAGACAGATGAGAGAGAGAGAGAGAGAGAGAGAGAGAGAGAGAGAGAGAGAGAGAGAGAGAGAGAGAGAGAGAGAGAGAGAGAGAGCGGTATTCCTGAAATAGAGGAAATGGTGTGAGGTTTAGGATCCCTAGCGGTCAGGAGGGGTTTAGGATGCTAGGAGGAGCTGGGATGGTATTCCCTGAGGAAGAACAAGAGAAGTGGTGTGGAAACGGCAGTGTAAGCATCTATCTTATGGCAAGCTCAAAGCAAGCCAGTCTAGAAAGCATCGTCTAAAATATAGGTTGGGAACAGAGAACCCTGGACTGTTGTGAAGCAAGGCTGGAGCCCCCCACCCCAGTGGAGATGCAGTTTCTCCCTGACTTTACCAGTTTGTTTGGGGCTGACACAGCCTTAACTGAAAAGAAAAGCGTGTTGGTGTCCTAAATTGTTAAGATCATTGCCCCACCCTCCACTCTCTCTGCTGGGTGTTTGTCAACAACCCGAATCATGGGGAAGGGAGTAGAAGAGGAAAAGGGAGAAATGTGAAAGGGCTAAATCACTTTAGACTGTCGCCAGAAGCGACTTTCATCCTCCCATCACAGGGCCTGATGCTTATTTCATTAAGTATGGGAATGGTGTTGCATATGTCCTTGGAGGTTTTTTTGTCAACTTTTCTCTTACAAATTAATACAACCAAAGTACTCTAAGTTGCTAATTAGACAAATGTTGGCTGCTAGATTGGGAAAGCGAGATGGGAAGGATTCGTTTTCCCTGGAAGAAAAAAAAGAAAGATTTCAGTGAATTGAAACTGGGCTCCGAGTTGTCCTTTGGTGACTGCAAGGGACCTTCATTGCAGAGACAGGACAAGGAATGGTTGGTTACTTGGGACTTATTTATAATTGGCCCTGTGGTCTGGTTTTAAACAAGGACTTCTTAATTCCCTCTGTAGGCTATATTTTGGAACCTTCACTTTGAGTTTTATCCCATTATGATCTAGTTTGCTAACACCATTCCCATGAACAGATGGCCCTAATCTATGAAGTGCTACTCTCCCAATTCACCTTGGCAGAACAGTTTTTCTTTCTCTCTCTTCCTTTCTTTCTCTCTCTTCCTTCTCTCTCTCTCTCTCTCTCTCTCTCTCTCTCTCTCTCTCTCTCTCTCTCTTTCTTTCTTTCTTTCTTTCTTTCTTTCCCAGAAGGAACTACTGGATTCTCCAGAGGCAGCTGCCAGGAGCTGCCAGGTTGGGTGAAAAGCACCTGACATCTTGCTAAGTTCACTCAGAGCACTCAGCCTCTGAGACTAGGCAATGAATGCACAGTATCTGGAAGGGTGGGGACCAGTGTGGTGCCTTGTGAACAGTGAAGTTGGGAAAGGATCATACAGCATGATTTATGTGTTTCTAGCCTGCCGGGAACCAAAGATCTCAGACCTGGTGAGACGGAAAGTCCTCTCGATGCAGGTTCAGTCAAGGTGAGAGCAAGCCCCTTTCAGGGATAATATCTCCCTTCTCCACTTGCATTAGGCCAAAGACAGCCTGGCATTTCTTAGGGACATTTAGTGCTAGCGGGTCATGAAAGAATGGGGCTTGTTAGATGGAGTCTCATTAGCCAGCTGCTTTTGGCCAAGAGGTAGCTACTACTGGAAGAGGTACAAGTTTTACTGGATCGTGGGAAAGCAGATGGCCGATGAGAAGAAGCGAGGCTTCCCTGATGATCTTTGAAGAGTTGGAGCTTAGTACTTTAGTCTTCTGGAAATGACTGCTTCTTTATTATGGCAGCTTCTAGGAGCTGGCAATCCTGCCAAACACGGTAGCCAGCTAGGGTTTAGGAAGACTGTCTTGATGGTGACCAACCAAACGAGACATACTGGTGGAGTCCAGGAACTAGAGATAAATGACCAATCCTGATGAAGGACACAAACTCTTGTGCATACCCAATGCTTCTCTCGGGAAGACAGATGAAGCTCACCTTGTGGTGAGAAAGACCATTTCTACTCTCGTTCTGCATCCTCTTCCTTACTCTCTCTCTCTCCTGAAGTTGCAAAGACATCTTTGGTTTTCTTCTACCAGTCCAAGCATAATTCTGTTTCAGAATTATGGCTTGTTCAGTCTGGAAACTGCTTCTGTTGATCTCATGGAGTCTTAGCACCCCCTTTTCAATTTTCTGCTCTTTTTCTCACCCAGAAAAGAGATCATCTCTGACTGCTTGTTCATGATTATTTAAAAAAAATATTCTATGGTATTGAGGAATTAACCCAGTGCCTAATACATGCTAGATAAACACTTTACTTCTGCATCCCCAACACCCAGCTGTCATTCAAACAAAACTAACAATGACATATGTGTCCTGATACCACCTCAGGCTGCTTCTTCCATTACCTGGTATTCTCTGGCCTTCACAATTATTTTGATTTCATTTTGGCAGCTCTCTCTCTCTCTCTCTCTCTCTCTCTCTCTCTCTCTCTCTCTGTCTATCTCTCTATCTCTCTGTCCCCATCTGTCTCTCTCCCTCCCTCCCCCCCATCTCCTTTCCCTGCTTCCAACTCAAATGTACAACTTTCAAGTAAAGGAATATTGCTTGCTTTGTTCATGCTAAAGCTTGCTTGCTTGATTCTACCTCTGCCAAATAGAAACCATTCAGGATATAGTTCTTTAAAAGATAAATGTGATTGACAGTCAAAGGTTCAAAATCTACCTCTGCCTCTCTTTAACCCTAGTTATGTTTAAGCAACTCCCTGAAGTTACTAGGCCTTCATTTTCTCATTTGAAAGCAAGAGTTATTAATAATGGTCCTGGAGGATTTCTCTAAGGGTTAAAACAACACTGACAGATGACACTGACGGTACATTTGCTGTGTGCCAGATGTTACTCCTATCACTTTCCATAGGTTAGTTTTTTTAGTCCTCATGATAACCTCTAAAGCTGGGCACTTTTTATTATTACTTGCACATTTTTAACATGTCCTTGCATATGTGGGAACTGAGGTTCCAAGAAGCTAAGTAACTACCTCCAAGGCTTGAACAAGAAGCCTCTTCCAAGCAAAACTACTTGGATTGTCCTCCTGTGAAGATCACCATTCACAGCTCACCGCGCTCAGGCTTGCATCCATATTTGTCTTCCTCCAGGCAAGGCATTCCCTTGGGAACAAAGGCAGTAGAATACAGACTGCCTTATTTCTCACCTTTCCCTGGTTTCCCTTGGGTGGGCTCTCTGCTAAGTGCAATCCACTGGCCCCCAAGAAGGCACCCTGCTTAGGTGATGATGCGTACTGGGATCCTGAGCTACAGAAAGAGACAATAAGGCTTCCTAATGTTACAGCAGTTTTCATGGGAGATTAGGTAGCAAGGTGCTAGGTGACTCCTGTAATTGAGAAAGCAAGCCTGAAATGTAGTTAAGTGTCTTTTTGGAAGATAGCTGCTGAAGTGGGGGTATTCTTATGTTCAGAGGCCTCCTGAAACAAATAGTAGCTTCACTACCAGAAGGTAGACACACTTCACATTCAGAAGCTCCCAGACCTGGCTGTAAACATAGCATGGATATTTGCTGAATGAAGTCAGTGTGGACTGAATGTTTCCTGAGCCATACACCATAGAGATACAAGAAATAAATTTCATTTTAAACATCAGATTACTATGGTAGAGACTTAAAGGTGGAAATGGTGACTGCTAAATACTATCTTGGGTGTCATATTCCTTTACTGCAACCCAAAAGCACCCCTTCCCCCAAGTAGCTCTCTGAGCTTCATTTCCTATTCATTATTACACAGGGATGAAGACATCAGTTTGAAGGAATCTCAGTTTGCAGACTGACAGCCATTATGCACCAGTGTAAAAAAATCCCAAGCTGCAGGACATGTGCATATCTCCCCAAAGAACATCTCTAAGGGATTCAACTTTAGGGCTCATTTAATGCCCCCTTTTACATTTACATGCAAGTTTTTATATTTCTCCCAAGCAGTGTTGCCTGAGAGAAAGTTCAAGTCTCTGAGGTGAACTAATTACATTTGCTAATTGCCAAATCAAGCTACTGTATCAACACAGTTTAGTTCAAGTCAATTCCTAAAATTGCCCCATTATGATAATGTTTAGAGAAAAGAATGTGCCTGGCTTTCCCTCATTCAAATTAACTCCTTTTCCTATTTAATTTTGCAATTAAATGTGTTCTCTCTCTCCCTCTCTATTTCTCTACACACACACACACACACACACACACACACAAACACACACACACACAGTGTGCCTTTGGATAGCAATATTATGTCAGGCTTTATTCTGATTAAAACCCTAGGTACTTGGAAGCATGCCAGAAACAAAGGAATATAGTGTCTAGTGACATAAGAGAGTGTATTCAGTAGCAAAAGGAGAGTGAGGAAGGAAGGGAAGAAGGGAGAGAAGGAGAGTGGGAGAAGAACAGGAGGGAA